CTCGATCCCGGGACTCCAGGATCATGACCTGAGCCGAAGGCAGTCACTTAACCAACTGAGCCACCCAGGCACCCTGCCTTATTTCTTTTCTTGAGCGAAGGAGACACCTTGGAGTTCCAGTTCATCCTTTTGAAGAGGGCGGGATTAGGGGGAAAGGGAAATTAACATGAAAGAGACCTAAGAAGAGGACATTAAATAAGGCAAAGACCATTTGGTTATGGCACCAGGGAGTCTCTGTAGGGCTCCTTCCTCCCGATCTTGTGAAAATTCAAACCTCTCCTCAAGTAGAGGAATAGTATAATGAACTCCTGTGTACCCGTTGCCCCCAATACCACAGCTGTCTAGATTTTTTAGAGGCCATTTTTGACAAGTTCCAGGAGGAAGAAAAGTCTAGACTAACCTGGAGATAGGCGTTTCTTTGCTTGTTCACGCAGTGGTGTTTATCTTTATGATAAAGGACTTCTGCCTTGGGACTTCTGACTACCTTATAGGTTGAGGACGAAAGGAAGCAGGATTGTAGGCAAGTCATTTCACCCGGTTTCCACATCTGGGAAGGACAGCACTTGTGACTTATAAGGGTGGTTGTCGTGGAGCACTTAGCCTAGGGCCTGACTTAAATAAAATTTGTTCTAGGTGATGGTGGCGTGTTTGTAGAAAGTAGGATCACTGAACAGGCCCATGAAAACATGGAACCGAGACATACAGCTGTGGACCAGCAAAACAGCCCAAAGACTTTATCTTTGATAAGAAATGGTGATGAACACTGGCTTTCTAAATGTGCTCATTAACCCGGTTTTATTGGCCATTATATCCATTTGTCCTAGGTTGTACCTGAGTGAAGGGGAATGATTGTTTACCTGCAAAATTAGGTAATGTAACTTCATTATATACACGTTTTTTGGTAGTAGCGAGATTGCTACTCATATTTTTTCTAAAGAACATTTAATGGGTTTTAACTAGAAGTAAAAAATACCACGATTTGAATAATCAAGTAGATTAAATACATTTGGCTCCATGAAGCCCTCTTCATTTTTGTTCTGTCTTCTAATAAAAGCTACAGGTGTAGACTTTATTTACCCTGCATAGCCTTAGGATGTAAGAAACAGATGTAAGTTAGGAAAAGGAAATGATGAGCTTGCACCTGTTTAAAAATGTATTATTTATAATTGTTTATAGGATTTGATTCTGTTGTGGTATTTTCATTTTTGAAACTAGCTTAAGTCATGTGCAAGTTTTACCTTTCTATGATTTTCTATGATTTTCTGTGATCTTTTCCCGGAATAGGTGCTGTTCCAAAAATCCTGTTTTAAATTCTTCTCTGTTAATGTGTGAAAATGTCAGAAAAGTAAAATAGTTTTCTTTTTTTTTTTTTAAGATTTTATTTATTTATTTGACAGAGAGAGCACAAGCACAAGCAGAGGGAGAAGTAGGCTCCCCGCTGAGCAGGGAGCCTGACGTGGGGCTCGATCCTAGGACTCTGGGATCATGACCTGAGCTGGAGGCAGACGCTTAACCAACTGAGCCACCCAGGTGTCCCAATAATTTTCAAAATAATTAGCAATTGAGTCAAAATATTGTTCCTCCAAAGATCCTTATTTGGTTGTGTGTCACAATTTGTGCAACAGGAAATACTGTGCAAAATAGTTTGATGTGGATTGACTAGGGCAACAGGAACGTCCAGTTTTCCTTATGCTTGGACAAATCAAATTCGGAGCTTATGAGAAATGGAACTTTATAAAGTGTCCTGGTTTTTCCTTATTAAAACCAGTTGGTAAAGTTAAGTTCGATAGTGAAGCAAGCTCCCAAGACTGAGCCCAAGAAATCTCTAACTATGCCACTGTATTCATCTCTTGTAATTAGGTCAGCCAGCTCCATAAGGAGGCTTGGCTATGGCTTGTAGGGTTTTCGTAATGTAGGCATTCTTATTTTTAAATTAATCTGTATACAGTGAAAAAAAGGAACGAGTTCATTTGGTAACTACTGTCCTTCACTCTCTCACTCTTTTGAGTGCACTGAGGTAGATTTTAGGTTCTGTACCCAATTGCAATTCCAGTGTGTGTGTGTGGGGGGGGCCTTCCACACATCAACAAGCATTTCTCGGACACGAGCAGGGTGTCTGAGAATTCACCCCAATAATTCTGACACTACCTGGAGATAGGCTCAGGCCGCACAGGTAGGGCTCAGTCCCGCGAGAGCACCCCCCACCCCCTCTGCCCTGCCGTCAGGTGTCCTCAAAAGCACCTGTCGTCACCTGTGCTCCTGGCTGACTGGCCAGAGATTGAAGGTTCCAGCTGCCCCTTCCTTGGGTTTGATTGATTTGCTAGAGCAGCTCACAGAACTCAAGACGTTTTACTTACAAGGTTAATGGTCGATTATAAAAGGATATAAGGCAGGACTGGCCAGGTGGAAGAGATGCCCTGTAGGGCCAGGTGTGAAGAGGAGTGGAGTTACCGTGCTCTCCGAGCGGGCCACTGTCCCCACATTTCCACGCGTCCACCAACCAGAAGGCTCACCAAACCTCATCCGCTTGGGTTTGTGTGGACGCTTCATGACATACGTATTTCTGGTTATATCGTTGTTGTTGGCCCCTGACTCAGCCTCCCCCCTCCTCCCCTCTTCCTCCCCTCCCTGGAGGTCAGGATGGTAGGATGGAAAGTTCTAACCTGCTCCTCACCAGGCTGGTTCCCCTGGCAACCAGCCCCTATCCTTAGGTGCTTTTCAGAAGCCGCCTCCTCAACATAGCAAAGACCGGTGCACTGCTCCCCTCACTTAGGAAATTCAAGGGCTTTAAGAACTCTGTGCCAGAAATGCAAGGAGGACTAAATACGGTATTTCCGATTTTCACAGCATCACAGGTAGATACGTGTATTGCTGACAACACGACACAAAGCGTGTAGGTTTGAGTTCATCTGGAACCAGCTGTCCCCTTCACGGCAGGGATACCCCGTGTTGGTTTAGGGGTTGGTCGTGTTTTGTGTCCCATGTGACTCCAGCTCATAAGTGGTGGTGCGTATTCGTGAAGCGGCCACGAGGCTTACCGTGTGAGTGTGAACAAGTCCATGGCGAGGCACTAGAGCAAATGTAAGCCACGGAAGTAGGACGAAAGCCATGACCTTGGCCTTCTAGCTAACTGGCCGAGTTCTCTGGCCTGGGTTTTTGATTCCACGTGTGTGCTCTGTCACTTCGTGACCCAGAGGCCCTGGCCCTTTGAGCCATCAGCAACATCATCAGTGTGTCTTCTTTTCCACTTTCTGCTGTTTTGTGAGTATCTATACTGGGGCAGAAGCAGGGATAAATAAATTCGTGTTCCTTTGTATGAGTAGCTTTAGGAGAGACTTTACGGAAGAGAAGGTAGAAGTTACTGTCCTCCTCACCCCTGTGGCCCCTGCAGATACCTGCGAGTAGTAAGCTGTGTTCAGGAAGGGAGGAAGAGGCTCTGGGACACTCCCCGCTCAGCGGACTTTCTCCTTCAGCCTTCTAATCCGTCATGCAAGATGGTAGCCTCCGGATTCTTCCTTCCAGAAGCCCCTGGCGCAGGGCGTGTGCATCCGGGAGCGACTCTGCACACCCCTTTAATCCTCGGTGTTCTCTTCTCTCCTACAGTCTTCCGTCTGTGCTAAGATTGTGCAGCTCCTGGGACAGAATGAGGTGGACTGTCGCCAGAAGCAGGTGGTCATCCTGAGCCAGGACAGCTTCTACCGAGTCCTTACGTCGGAGCAGAAGGCCAAAGCCCTGAAGGGCCAGTTCAATTTTGATCACCCGGGTGAGTCAGGAGTTGAGGGTGTGTGTGTGTGTGTGTGTGTGTGTGTGTGTGTGTGTTCACTGAGAAAATTGTTTGACCTCTCGGAATCTGTTTCTATCGATAAAATGGGGGATAAATAAATACCTTGCGGGGTTATGGTGGGGCCTCAAGAAAGAATTTTGAAACACATTGCACAGTTGCATGGCTCAGTAAATATGGATGGAATCTGCATCTGAACGAGGGCGACTCCTTGTGAGCCTGTTGCTTGAGATTGGCCAGACACAGGACAGCACAGAGCTGGTTCTTCTGCCTCTTCTGATCTGAAGCAGCCCGTGCCCCCTGCCCCCCATCCCACACATGTGTGCATAAGGCAGGGTGTGAAACTCACTGACTGGCGGAAAGGACCGTGGAGGGTCCAGGATGTCTGCCTGCGTGACGTTTACCTTGACAGTCCCAGATCAGCACATTGCCCTTTAGCTGGTTTTGGTTCTTTTTTTTAAAGATTTTATTTATTTGTCAGAGAGAGAGAGAGAGAGCACAAGGCGGGGGAGAGGCAGGCAGAGGGAGAAGCAGGCTCCCCGCTGAGCAGGGAGCCCCATGGGGGGCTCAGTCCCAGGACTCCGGAATCTCATGACCTGAGCTGAAGGCAGACGCTTAACTGACTGAGCCACCCAGGCGCCCTAGGTTTTGGTTCTTAACAACTGTTGGAATCAAAACTTGGTGCCCCTTATGGCTCCCTGAGTCACGTGTATGCTTTCGGGTTAACGTATTCCAGCTCCCAAGACAGCAGCTGAACTTGGGGGGAGAGAGGTGGCTGAGGCCAAGGGTGGATAGAAAGGTAGAAAAAAGAAGTGAGTTTCTTGGAATGCATTCATATGTTCTATTTTGAGATCCAGGGAGTTTACCTTCTGCTTTGGGTAGAGATCTGGGTTTTTTCAGTGGGGGCTCCAGGTGGGGTATACGTCCAGGAAATAGATGTGGATGATTATAGGAGAAATCATTTTAAAATTCAGCAGCATTTTAACAGTCTGATTTCCTTCAGATGCCTTTGACAATGAACTCATCTTCAAAACACTCAAAGAAATCACCGAAGGGAAGACGGTGCAGATTCCCGTGTATGACTTTGTCTCCCATTCCCGGTAAGTGAGCTCTTGGGGGCTGGGCGTTGCTCCTCGCAGCTCCCAGAGCAGTCCGGTTTCCCAGGCTGCAGGCTGTGTCCTCCCCTCCCCCGTGCCCACGGCTGTGTGTGTGAGCGGCAGCAGCGTGCTCCGCGGGTGTGCACGGGTTGGGGAGTTTACCTGGTGCTTCCTGGAACAGTCTGCTCATCACGTTTTGCTAACTCTGAAAGGACAAGTTCATGAATTGGGGCTCGGGTGAGGGACTCTACACTTGTTCTGATTCACAGCACTGAGTGGTTGTTCCTGGAATAAGATGTAAAGGGGCTGGGCAGAGGATACAGGAAGAAGAACAAAGAAAACTGTTCTTTCTTCTCTCCTGGTTGGACCGGGCAGAGAGCTGTGAGGGCGCTGAGGTCACAGAGAGCAGCCGCTCAATTCCCAGGAGAGATTCTCAGTCGTGTCCTTTCTGCTGATCTGTGTTCGTGCTCCTGATTAGGTCTAGAGGAGGGGCTCATCTTCGTTCCCTCTGAGTGGTTGCCCGAGGCTCCTAGAGGACTTCACGCCTGCTGGCCAGGCTCTCAAAGTTCCCTCGAGCCTCCCAGGACTCTCTGCTTGCTCTGTCTCCTTGGGGACTTCCCAGGCAGACTCTAAACTTCTGAATGGCATTTAAAGCACGCGTAGCTGCTGCTTATTCTAGGCTAGTAATTGCTCAGTAAGTGTTGTTTTCAGCCCTGCGCTGTTTCGAAAGTTTCTCCCAGCTGCTTTCATTCTTCCCTCCCTTTCTTTCATTCTCTCGAGTGGAATTTTTTTTTTTTTAAATGGGAAATTAGATTTCATGCATCTTTTACTACCAAATGCCTCTATAATTAAAAGCCCATCTTAATCTCCATGTGTGTTCCTTGAGTACACATCTCAGCCAGCCTTTGATGCGGGATTCCTCACATGTTCTGTGCCTTTCCCAGAACTTGAGGGTGTGGCAGAGATTGGTTGGAGGAGGAAGAGAGTGAACACATTGTGCTGGAAAGCCAGGCTGCTTAGCGCCTCGCCTTCATCCCTCACCAGTATCTTCTGAAGCGTGTCCTACTATGGACCAGATGCTACTGTGCCAAAAACTCAAAGAACAAGATGCACCTCCAGCCTCAAAACACCACAGACCGTGCAGGAATAAAGGGGTTTAGTACAGGAATTGGAGCTTTTAAGAGTGTTGGGTGGGGCGCCTGCGTGGCTCAGATGGTTAAGCGTCTGCCTTCAGCTCAGGTCATGATCCCAGGGTCCTGGGATCAAGTCCCACATCGGGCTCCCTGCTCCTTGGGAGCCTGCTTCTCCCTCTCCTCTCTCTCTCTGTCTCTCATGAATAAATAAATAAAATCTTTAAAAAAAAAAAAAAAGCGTATTGGGGGCTGGGGGTGCTGGGAGAGCTAAGATCCGGGAGGCTGTAGTCTAAGGGTCCAGGGTCCATGGCGAGTCCAAGAAGCTGCCACATCTGAGCCCTAGCCTCCAAGGGAGGGGGCGACTTGCGGAGTAGCTGCAAAGTTGCCTTGTGTGGCTATTAAGGTCTCCTAAAAATTAGATGCGTTTTGTTTCATCTTCTACATTTCCCATTGGCAAAGCACCCTGGGACCCCAGAGGGAAAAGGATTCTGGGAATTGTAGTTTCTAGCCTTAGCAGGGAGTGGTGATGATGTCTTGTCCACAAGAGACACAAGGGAGCCCACCAGCTCTCAGGTCCAGGGCCGGGCACTACCTCAGAATTAAAATGCAGCCGACAACTAATGTAAGGGCCTATGGAGGAGTGTGAAGGAGGGAGGAAGGGCTGGAGTATTTAGAGCAGGTTGTATAGAGGAGGTGATCTTTAAGCTGTATGTTGGAAAGCCTAAGAAGTCGTTGGGGGAGGGGATTTTCAAGGTAACGGGTAGGGAAGCATTTCAGGGACAAGCTTGGTGGGGAATCGCAGCTGGTTAGGAGTGGCGGAATGGGGGTGAGTGTGCAGGAAGAGTGGCTAGGAGGCAGGCAGGCCCCAGAGAGGAGAGGCTGGGGACGCCAGGGCCAGAGCGCGAACATGTTGGCAGTAGGGAGTCACAGACGGCTGTTATGTGGGAGCAGATCATTCTGGTGGCAGGAAGAGAGGATCCACAATGCTATTTATGAAGCCCTTGGAGTCGTAGCCCAGGCGAGAGACTCTTGAGGGCCTGAGGTCAGGCGGTGGAAATCCGGGTGGTTGGCAGGAGGCAGGACCTGACCAGATGGAGGAGGTGGGGGAGGGGTAGCGTGTGCAGCATGAGGTTCATGGATTAACCACGAAACCCCAGCAGAATTCCCCATCCAGATGTGATTCACTCCCCCCCCAATTCCTTCCCAAACCATATATTTTATAGCCTTATTCTTTAGTGGCCCACAGCCCATCTCTTGTGAAACTCTGCCTGACCACTTTTGGCCACAGCAGTCCCTCAACTCTCAAGGGCCACTCGTTAGGGACCCAGCTGTTAGAGTTTACTGCTGCCAACCCATCCACGGGCCTTTATCACGGTGACGTACAAACAGATGTTGGACTAAGAGAAGACTCTTGTTTGCTGTTAAATACCCTTCTCTGGCCTTGCCCCTCCTGATAAGCCAAACGAGAAGCTTGGATTCAGGTTATCTCAAATGCTCTAATCATCTCGGTATCTTATGTGGACTTCCCAGCCAGACTCTGAACTTCTCCACGGAATATCGCACCAAGTGTGGCTCCTCTCGTGTTCTGGGCTGGTAGTTGCTCAATCGATGTTGTTTTTAGCTCTGGGCTGTTTTGAAGGGTTCTCCTCCCTAGATGTACATGCGCACTTGGGAAGGGGTCGATCCCAGCTTCTTGGGGCACCTACAACAGCATGGACAGCGTTCTCCTTGCTTTCCCAGGATTGAAGAGCATGTTTGTTGAGTTGGAAAACCACCTACCTGTTCCTTGTTCGTGCTTACCAGCTAGGCGTCCTGATCGTGGTGTGAGCACACGTACACCTAGCACGGACAAGGTGCTCTCCGGTAGAGTGTTTCCCAGACGGAGCCCTGGGAGTTTCCCTTACCCCACACAAATGGAAACATTCTCTGTTTCCCAGCAGAGACTTTTCCACCCTCCTTCCTGTAGGGCAGTTGCCTACAGCGGCTCATTGTTTTACTCACTCACTGATCCTTTTTTCTAGCCCATTTCCCTTCTCAGCTCTGTCCAGTTGGGTTCTTTATCCTAAACCACAGTGGGCACCCTGTTTTCTGGTAGCTGACATTCCTCCAGACTGGTGCTCCTCACCCCTGGCCGCATGTTAGAAACACCTGGGGCGGTTTTCTAAAATACCAGGGCTCTGACTCTACCCCAGGCAAATGAAATCAGAGCCCTGAGGGGTAGGGCCCAACTATACATTTTTTTTTTTTTTCTTTTAAAGATTTTATTTATTTGACAGCACACAAGCAGGGGGAGCAACAGAGGGAGAGGGAGAAGCAGGCTCCCCGCTGAGCAGGGAGCCTGATGCGGGACTCGATCCCAGGACCCTGAGATCATGACCTGGGCCAAAGGCAGATGCCTAACTGACCGAGGCGCCCCAGGCATACATTTTTTTTTTTTAAGATTTTATTTATTTGAGAGAGAGAGCATGCGCGCCCATGTGTGGTGGGGAGGGGTGCAGAGGGAGAGGGAGAATCTTAAGCAGACTCCGTGCTCAGCGCAGAGGCTCAGTCTCACGACCCTGAGATATGACCTGAGCCAAAACCAAGTCTGAACCAACTGAGCCACCCAGATGCCCCCAGGCATACATATTTGTTCTGAAGCTCCCCAGATGGTTCTGTGTGCATCCAGAGTTCCATCATTGGCCTAGAGAGTCTCCTCCTTGTACTCACCCTCTTCTGTTGTCTTTTATGCCTCATGTTCTGCCACTTTGGTAGTTGCTGCCGCCTTAGAACTTAGACAGGAACCCGAGGGTCTGAGCTAATAAGGAATCAAAGAGTGTTTATGGGAGGGAAGTTCAGTGCATCCTCTTGCATGGGCAGCTGCTGGGGTCCCTGTGTTTGCACAGATAAACCCATTGTCTTAAATGTTTTATTTGGTTTTATTCCTCAATGTCCGCCTGAGTAGTAAACCTTGCAGTGAAAACTGTTACCTTCCTTTCAGTGACTTGAGCAAGAGGCAGTAGAGGATGGTTAGGACAGAAGCAGATGGCAACCCTGTGGGGCAGATGGGGAGGTAGCGCGCACCCCTGCCTCACTGAGGAGGAGGAGGAGGGCCTCCAGGCCCGGACCCACAGCCACAGTGCTGCTCATGCCCGAGCCAGACCAGACAGACCTCGGGACGCTTTCCTTCCCTGTAGATGCTTCCTCTCCTCTCTCTCCTTCTCCGCAACTTCCTTTTTCTGCCTCCTCCTCTCCCATCCCTTCCTGCCTCCTTCAGTTGCCTCCGGACAAGGGGAGGGCGTGGGGCTGTTGGGAGAAGACTGTGAGTTTCTGTTTGTGAAAGTTCAGTGTTAGCTTCCATAAATGCCGGGCCTGAGAGCATTCCTGGAGACGCCCCCAGAGAGAAGAAGAAATCACATCTGCTTCTGTCTGTCTCCATTGTGTGTTCAACAGCATGTTTGTTTTTTTCTTATCCCAAGGAGAGGGATGACTGCCTTCTCTTTTTATGGTGAGAGCTCAGAAGAGCTGGTCAGAGACCTTTGCCCCGGTCGTGATGGCCCTTTGGTCGGTCTTCAGTGGTGGTCCGAGGGCCCTGCAAGGCTGCGTTCGCTCCCCCTTCCGGTCCTGCTGTAGGTCTACAGGGAGGGGACCCCAGACTCCCAGACAGACCCTGCTGTCCTCCTCCCTTTGCTCACCCTGCCTGATTCGGCTCATCATCTGCTCTGTGCTTTGCAGGAAGGAGGAGACGGTTACTGTCTACCCCGCGGATGTGGTGCTCTTTGAAGGGATCCTGGCCTTCTACTCCCAGGAGGTGCGAGACCTTTTCCAGATGAAGCTTTTCGTGGACACAGATGCGGACACCCGGCTCTCCCGCAGAGGTGCGTTCTAAAAGCCTCCAGTGGCCCTGTTGGTGGCCCAGTCCAGCTGAGTCAGTTCAGCCCCAGGATGTACTGCTTCTCAAACACTTGGTGACATCTGAGAAGGGGTTAGTCACTGTGTTGGGTAATGAAAGGCCTGTGAGGTCACGAGATGAAATCAGAAGTTTACATTGTGATTTTGCTGGAGAAAAGTTTGATTAAATGCCCAGTTCTTTATGGTTTTCCCACAGGCATCATAATCAAGACAGGAACTAACTAGGAATCCTAGTGACTGCAGCACTGGGCAGCTTATCCCACCAGCCCACTTCTCTAGCCCTTTATTTTCCAGAAAGCTCTGTGGAGGTTTGGTGACTCTGTTCAGCCAGCTGCAGAGCAAAGTCGCTCGGTCATTCCCTCTGCAGGCCTTACTGAGGGTGTGCCTGTGCAGGTCCCCGTGCCTGGTGTCCTGAGGGACAGCTGCCCTTCGCTGGGGAGCAGAGCCCATGAATTCAGCCCTGCAGGGATGGAGTGGAACCCTTGCTCCCTGCCGCGGGGATCAGGAGGCTTCACGGGGGATGGGGTAGGGTGATGACATAGACAACCCATGAAATTACACGGTGCAGATACAGACACACGGGGCTTGTTCCGGGAAGCAGGTGGCTGGAGTTCCTAGAGGGCTGTCCGAAGAGATGCTGGAAATTGCTTGAGGCAGATTACGGGGACGTGGCTTCCCATTTGGTCCCTGGTCCACGAAGGTGAGCTACCAAGGGGTTTTGAGCAGGGCAAGCAAAAGGGCCTCGGCTCTCTGTTGGGAGATGACTCTGATGGAGGGAGTAGAAGTGAAGACTGCAGGTAGGGCTGCTGTAGGAGGTGGCAGGGATGAGAAAGGTACCAGCAGAGTCAGAAAATGACAGCCCCCCCCCCCGCCCGCCCCTGTGGAGGCCGTGGGGGTGGGGGTGAGGAAAAGAGCAACAGAAGGTGAGGAAAGTGAGCAAGGCTTCAAGTCCCCGTTGCGTGGAAGAGGAACGAGACCCCGGGAGTGACTCCTAGTCACAGAGCAAATCGTGGGCAGATTGGAATTTTATAAGTTCCAGCCCAGAGCCTTCTGACCTCAAATTCTGTGACGTTTTCTCTTCTCGGTTCATGAAACAGATTTGTGGTTTATCCACTTAAACGTCCTCTCTTTGCAAGAACTATAAATGGAACCAGCGGAATATAGAGAAATGAGTCCCTGGGTTTTGTCCTCCTAAGGAGTAGTGTCTGCATGCTATTAAGTGAATTGTTGTTACACTCTACTCCCAGGTGGGGTGTGGGGGGGTAGAACTCCTCGATGGAAGAAAGGAGGGTGGGAGGCCCATATTCTAGTCCCAAAGCCTCCAGCTAGCTTTGTGACTTTGGTGGCTCTTGGGACTCGTGTGACCTCCCAGGCTTGGGTTTTTTTATGGGTAAGATGAAAGAAACAGGACTATTTTTAGGGTCATGACTTTGGCCAGGAAAGAGTTGCATGGTCTTTTTTAATAGATAATCAAGGCCGGAGGCTGATAGTCCCTCATGCATCTGCCCCAGGGCCTGGCTTATCACCTTAGTCCCCAGACCCAGGTCCTGCCGTGGTTGATCTACTCGATGTCCCCATTAGTCTGTTAAATCAGGGAGGCAGCATGATGCACTTGGGGAGAAATTGGAGTCAGATGAACTGGACTTAAATCCTGATTTCACCATTTAGTAGATGTGTGACCTTGAGCAGGTTATGTTGTTACCTCTTTGTACCTCATAAATAGGGATATTCGAGTTGGTTGATTACATATTGATCAGTACCCCTGGGTTGTGAGGGTGAGCTGTAATGCAGGTTAAATGCCTGGCGGTGCATTAGCTGGTGTGTTAGATCAGGAGTCTGCTTTGCCTGAGATGGTAGATGTTCTGCCTGAGTTTTCCATCAGGACTGGTCAGAGCCCCTGAGTCGTCATCGTATCCTCAGGAGCTGGGACACCGGCCTGATCCCATTGTTCGGTCAGCACATGGTACTGAAGCCCCGGGGGGTGCAGTTATGCTTGAGGGAGGAGTGCATGCGAGCCGTGGCCCAGGAAAATAGAACCAAGTTTGAGAAGTACAGAATTCAGAGTCCTTGGAAATCAGACGATCTTGGCCTCTGATTCAAACAGATCATCATGGCACCGATGACATGGAAAATTCTCCCTTGCTCTCTTATACTTGGATCATTGTGCGAAACGGGGGCGAGGGGGAGACAGGAGGTGATGGTGGCTTTCTGTGGGGTTTCTCCGGCCGCTTTCCCTCTCAGACCTCTGTCTTCTCCTGTCACCTGCTGGCGAGTCACTTTCTGGTGGACTTGTGGGACGTTTCCACATGCAGCTTCTACAAGTTCATTTCTCTGTCCAAGTAGGACAGAAAACATGCCTGGCATGTGCTTTGTGGGATGGGAGGGTGGGTTAGTCAGGAGCAGCTGCTGGGCCTCAGAACAGTCCTGGAGACTTGAGTTAGTGCCATGGTTTTACCATTCCACTGTCACACTTCCTGGGCTTGTGACCCTCGCGGTCAGAGTTGACCATCATGTGGGACGGGGGATTTGCCTTTGAGCCATGCAGCCTTGGAAACACTTACCTCCATCATGGGAACCCCTCATACTTTGGGGGTTTTGGTTTCTCCCATCTTTCACCTTCCCTCCATGTGTGTTATTTACTCTTAACCCACCCTTGAATTTGGGGACGGGGAAGAACTGAGACAGGGGACCAAGGAGGGCTGACACCTACTCTCTATACTGCTATAATTCTCTGTGTCCAGTTCCCATAGCTTCAGGGCTGCAGTGGACCTTGAGATAGTCTGTTCTGTTACTAGAGTAACACATTTCCTCAACTAATTTTTAAAGTGAATCAGCTGAACCATTGAGGAATTATATTTATTCTGGGTCCTTTTAAATTTCGTTCTTGGCTTTGGCTGACTAGAGGAGCCCTGGTGGCTTTGGAAGGGCGGCTGTGAGAGCCAAGCAGGGAAGGTAGGCAGACGGGTAGTTTCCTGCCCTTTCCCCCCTCTTCTGAAAGGGCCTTTCCTTTCCAAGCAAATGTGCTGGGTCAGAGGGATGATCAGGGAGCCGGTTTTGAGTCCCTGGAGTTTCCGGTTTGTGCCAAGACCTTGTTGTGACTCAGTCCTTGGCTTGGCCCTGTTTCCTAACTTCGCCTGAGGAGCAGGGCACTTCGGTGCAGTGAATGGGCTGGCCTTGTGTTGTCCTTGGCTTGAGGAGGGGTCTCGGGCTGTTTGAGGTGATAACTCAGTGGAAGGCTCTCGGGGAGCAGAGGTGGGCGATGCCTTTTGATTTTGCACATTCCCAGTGTTTGGGCAACATTCTCACCCGTTTCCTGTTTCCTTTTCCAGGGTAGAAACTGTAGGATGGCTCCTCCCTGTCTTCCCTGTTTCGCCCTCCCCACTGTGTCTTCCCACGTGTCTGTGCCCTGCTGTCCCTCCCGTACTGCACCCCCCACTCCCTGTTGTTCTGCGGGACCCTGCTCTCGGTGTGCTCTGCTCCCCTGTGCTCGCCTGAGCTCACAGATGCTGCCCTTCCGGGGGTCTGCTCTGTCAGGGAGCCATCCCTCTCCTGAAGCTTCCCAGATTCTGTTACCATCATAATCCGTGGCAGAAACTCAGGTTTATTGAACGCATACTATGCGCCAGCCACAGCGCTGAAGAGTTTCATGTCCATCCTCTTGTATTCTGAGGAGTAACGGCTTGAGGAGAAAGTCTCTGTGTATCATGTCTCTGTTTTACAGTTAAGGAAAATGAGAGTCACAGAGGTCGAGTAACCTAAGGTCACAGAGGTAAGAGTGGGGTCAGGATTCCAACCCAGGTCACTTTTGCCTGCATTGCTCCCGATGGCGGGCCAAGGGGTAGCTCTGGGCCCTGGAGCAGCCTCAGTGTGACTCTCCTGCTCCCCACACTCTTCCCCCGGCACCTTCCTCATGCAGTGGCCTGGCGGGGGGAGCTGTCAGGAGGAGCTGACAGGTGATAAGGGGGCTGCAGGCTGGGTCCCAGGGCAGCGGGAGAGCGTGAAAAGCATGTCTTGTGAAACAAGCACATCAGGCTTTTGCAGGGCTTTTAAGTAAAGCTGCCTGAGTGCGGGCGTGTGTTTGTTTTTTCCCCTAGCTCTGATACCCTTTGCCCTGGCTTCCTTTTTTCTTTGTACTTTATCTGGGGACGTGAAGAAATTGGAGGCCACGCTGGCTGTGTGTTCTGGCCCAGGGGAGCCCACTAGCTGGCGTGCCAGGGCTCCCGAGGCCTGTGGGGGTGAGACACGTGGCGGCTCATCGGCGGCCTCCTTGGCCCCGTCTCCCTGGCCCCCGGCGCCCGAATGCCCGAGAACACCGTTTCCCGGCTGGGGGAGGCACGTCTGGCAGCCCCGGGGCCGGGAGGGGCTGTGAGGCAAGTCCTGACAGCGCATTAAAGGCCAGGGTTCATGCGGAGAAGGCTCCTTGTAAATGGAGGGGCTGGCGGAGGAGTCAGGAGGTCTAGCAGCAGCACCTCATGCTCTGGAATGTGGTCTTCTAGTCATCTGATCCTCACAGAGTGCACACCAGCCCGAATCCTACCCGCGGCCCCTGCGTGCGTGCGTGCGGACGCACGGAATTATCTAGAGACGTGGCTGTCCAGAAATTCACTCACAAGCGTCCCCTAGTTCATTTGCGGTGAGGTGCATCCCTCGCTCAGTGGTCGAGAGGAGCCAAGAGGCCTTCACGAATGATCGTTGATGGACAGGGTACCCTTTCAAGGTGGGGCTGGAAGACTGAGCAGCCGTGGTACTAAGATTTACAACACCTGTTGGGAAGCGCTGTTTGGACGGAGCGAATCTCCTTCCAAACTCTCACTACCGAGTTCGGGGGGAAACTGAGGCTCAGGGATGTTAGTGCCGAGTGGCAGAGCCAGGATTCCAATCCCTTAGATGGTTGGACCCTTTTCTGTTTGTTTGTTTGTTTGTTTGACAAAAGACTCTGTTAAAATAATAAAGGTGTTGGATGAAAGTCCCTAAATGACACTGTCCCAGACAAGAAGGTAGAAGATGGTGAGTGTGGATCAATCTGGGTGGCTTTACACCTCCAGCCCACCATTTCCAAAACCATGGTATGGCCGTCTTTCACTAAGTGGTTTTCTGTTTGGCAAGCCTCCCTGCTTGAGGTTAGCAGGAATGGCTGACCACAGCTGGACCCTCTGCCTGCCCTCCACCCCTGTAGGGGCTGGAATGTGGGGGGAGCCAGCCATGATAAGGTGGCACATCAGCAATAGGTCAGTGGACTGCACGCAGGTAAGTAAGTGCAAGGGGACAGCATCCAGGTGAGCAAGGGGCTCCTTTGCCAGGGAGCCCCACCACCTCTCTGGGCCCCGTCTACTCCCTGTTACGAGCTCCGCAGGACTGTCCTGCTTTTTATGTTGTTCACACTGCAGATTTATTTGGGTCAAATGCTGCTTGAAACCAGAAGACTGTTGGCTGAGGCTGGACAGCCTTTTGCTTCAGAGATCCTTATGTCATAGCCAAATTTGACTATAGCAATAAAAATGTAACTTGTTTTTCTTGAAGCTGCTGCTGACCTGCTCTTGGTCAAGTCTCTCAGGAATCCAGCTTGTGAATCATCCAGAGTAATTGTGGAGTCCACGTGAGCCTGGTCTGCCTCACGAAGGGTGGACATGTGTTGGCTCATGCACCATTTTCTTGATTCTTGTTTTTCCTTTTCTTATAGTATTAAGGGACATCAGCGAAAGAGGGAGGGACCTTGAGCAGATTTTATCTCAGTACATTACGTTCGTCAAGCCTGCCTTTGAGGAATTCTGCTTGCCAGTGAGTTGTGTTCTTGGTTTGTTTTTTGTTGAATTTAGAATTTAAAACTGAATTGTACACATAAAGGTATGTAAGTTGATGGAGCCCCCAGCCTGAATTTCATTCCTCTCTGAATGATCATCTGTCTTCCTCCAGTCCCAAGAAAGGGCAGCCTTTGAGGCTTTGTGTTCTCTGGGAGCTGTAGGCCACCATCTTCATCAGAATGGTCCTTCAGGGTCCTGCTGTCTGACTCCAGCAAGTTCTGCACTCCTTGCTCGGTGGGCTCAGGGTGTGAGGGTATGCCATACCTAAGCATGGACTTGGCCATTTGGATCTCCAAAAGGTCTGTGATGGTTGCATATTGGTGCAGGGAGGGCTCAGCAATAGGGTATTTCCTTCTGAATCTCTTCTGCCACTGCACTGAGCCTCCCCGCCCCTTTGAGCTTGTCTTTGGCCCCTGGATACGTTCCCCTATGGGAAGTATCCTGCCATGCTGGAATAAGCTTCCATACTTCTGCCCTGGCTCAGGCTCATCAGTCCTCCTATGGCAGCTGGGAACTCTCTGGGGAGGTGGCTTTCAGAGAAGGAAGGTTGGGGATATGGGGAATTTTCAGCATTTAGTGAATCAGCCCTTGGCACAGGAAACACACTCGGTTTCATGGGGACAGACAGGTGGGTGTTGAGGGAGGGCCACCAGGGATAAGAGATGCAGAGTGGTGGTGGGGGTGGGGGGGGTGGTAGAGGAAGACGTAGGAGACGATGTTGTTTGAGACGCCTGCCCCTGTGTCGTGTGTCTGCACCAGGTTGGCCTCACCATGGTCTAACTCCCTAATGATTTATAATTAAGCTGTGAGAGTGGGGAGACATTGGGGCTTAGCCTGATCTTGGGTAATCTCTTTTGGGAGACTGGAATCTGAGGGCATCGAGAGTAGAGTGAGGCTGAGTGTGGGAATTTCTCTGTTTCTCGTAGTAATGAACTTGTCTTTCTCCTGGAAAAGTATGATCTCAAACTGTCTGTTCCTTCAAGTCTGTTAGAAGGTTCTGCATCAAACCAGACTATACTTTTGTTTCAGATTGTTTCTGAGTCAGTCTGAGTAACGCTGATGCCCTAGTCATTCCCCTGGAGAGGATTGGGTCACAGGATTAGGTTTCTGGGCAGAGGGCAGAGGGAGTGGAGAAGCCAGGAAATTCTATCTGTCCATCTGTCTCTCTGAGGACTTCTCCTGCTCTTTTTACCTTAATAATAGAGCAAGGTAAACTTATTGGACATAAATTAGAGTTAACTGCCAATTTTCTGCTGTTTCACTTAGTTGTAATGGAGCTTAAAATTCTGCACGTTTTCTGGGTGGTTTCTGCTTGTTCCCACTGTCCAGCCACTCTTTGCTCAGGGAAAGCCAGGTGCTTGGATCTGATAAATTGTCTGCCTAGTTCAGGTTGGGTTTGGGCCTGACACAGTTTTCCATTTGAACGGGTCTAGTACAGAAGATGCCCACGCGCTGAAGGCATTTTTGTGGTCTTATCCTAAACTTGGGTCATACACCAGAACACAGTTATTTGTAAAGTGGTCCACAAAATCCCGGTAAAATAAGAAAACAAAAAAGGGAATGTATCTAGTTGTGGCTTTACTTTGTTTTGTTTAAGTGTGATAACAGAGCCAATGAAAATGGTCATGGGGGGGAATTATTTTTCTTGGGTTTACCCTTGCGTTAGGATCAATGGTGTCACCTTTCAGACTGTGTGTAGAAGTCCAAGGTGAACCACTTCCCTTTTTGATTTGGGTTTTTCTAATTCATATCTTTCTTGATAGGGAGGAGGCAGTTACAAGTTTGGTTTCAAAGACCACGTTCTCTGTACAGGTCATAAGCTTAAACAGTATTAAACCATTAATAATGAGAAATCAAGAGAGCTGATATATTGTAATTGAGATAAAGGGGATAAAAAATACTGTGTTCGTAGCCTCAAGCTGCCACCCTCTGGGGTCAGTGGTAGAGAGGCTGACCCTTCCCTCATGGCCCCTCAAGAGGGGCTTGGGCCAGTTTCTCTGGAACTCCTCTTTAATGCATTGTGAATATCTTTCTCCACAGACAAAGAAATACGCTGATGTGATCATTCCTAGAGGTGCAGATAATCTAGGTGAGTCCTGGTCAGGTCGGGGGGTGGAGGGTTATCCCCTGGGGCATAACTTCTACCCTATGTCAGTCCTACTTTGGGACAGGATGTGGTGACCAAGCAAGGCTCCATGGACGTGGCTGAACCACTGCTCTTCTATTGGGATCCAGAAAGGAATTTTTGCCTACACGTTTGTCCTTGGGAACAGGCCCCTGGGCATACGTGTGTATGACAAAACAGGAATTCGTGCTTCTCTAGCAGAAAGCAGAGGGCTGGAGACTCTCCTCTGCTGTCCCTCCCAGCGATGACACTTTGGGGCCTTGCATCCAAGGCCACCTTTTAGCAAAAGCACATTTTCTTCTTAATTTAGAATGGCCTGCCATCAAGGTAGCCTTTCCAAAAGGGAGTTGTTTGTATTTATTTATTTATTGGTTTTGGCTTGTCTGAGAAGTAGGGGTACCTCTGGACTGAGGCAGGCTGGGGCATGATCTGTGAGAAGTCCCTATCTTCTCATTCTCTTATTTATTTATTTATTTATTTTTAAAAGATTTTATTTATTTATTTGACAGAGACACAGCGA